ATAAATTTTCAGGTTTTTGATAATTTTGTGTCTTAATGTCAAGTATTTTGACACATTAAGATCAAGGTTATTGAAACTTCTGTGCATGAATGTGCAGGTTTATAGAAGTTTTGTGTGTTTTTGTCCAGCTTATTGACGCTTTTCCGTGTTGTCATTTTATCATGGTTTTTATTGACAGTTTTGTGCTTAAATATCAAGATTTTAAGAGTTTTGTGCTTTAAAAGTTAGGTTTTTGAGACTTTTGTGTGTAAATATGAAGGTTTTGAGGAGTTTTATGCACTATAATACAGGTTTTTACATAATTTGGTGCAGCAATGTCAAGTATTTTGACACATTTGTTCATTAATATCAAGGCTATTGAAACTTTTGTGCAGGTTTATAACATGTTTTCTTGGTAAATATGCAGGTTTGTAACAGTTCTGTGGGTTTTTGTCAAGGTTATCAGCGCTTACACGTAGTTTTTACAGACAGTTTTGCGCACAAATATGAAGGTTTTTAAGAGTTTTATGTGTTAATATGCAGATTTTTTATGTTTTATTGTTATTATTAAGTATTTTGACAAATTTATCAACTAACATTAAGGTTATTGAAACTTTTGTCAGTTACTTTCCAGGTTTTTGACAGTTCTGTACGTGCATATGAAGGTCTTTTAAAGAGTTTTGTGCATTAATATTCTGGTTTTTGATAATTTTGTGTCTTAATATTAAATATTTTGACACATTTGTCCATTATTATCACGGTTGTTGAAACTTTTGTGTGTTAATATCTCAGTGTTTGACAGCTTTGTGAGTAAATATGCAGGTTTTTAACAGAACAAGAATGAGAATAGGGACTACAATAGTATATGTTAATCAACCTGAAACTAGAAAATAGTTTTATATTAATTAATGAATTAATTTTGCAACCATGGCGTCCTCTGACAAACTCACTGAACAGGAGTTAAAGATGAGAGACGTGCTGTGAATTCAGATATATTTTTACAGAATTTGAGAGAAAACAGTTTCACAAACAGGATAAATGGAGTCACTTCAGCTGCTCTGTACTTTAAAGTGTCCACCGTGTCCATGTTGCACTTGGTTTAATGTACACAACAAACTTTTTCACTTTGTTCAGGAGTTTAGTAGAAAGTTAGATTTCTTTTGGAATTGCTTCACTGACTTAAATAATGAGCAGCTTTTTAATTTATTTTTAACATTTTCTAGTTTTTAGTTTAACTCTAAAGCAGGGGTGTCGAACTCCGCTCCTCGAGGACCGCAATCCTGCAAGTTGTGTCCCTCTTCCAACACACCTCATTCAAATGATCAGGATCGTTATCAGGCTTCTGCAGAGCTTGATGATGAGTTGGAAGAAGGAAACATCTAAAACATGCAGGACTGTGGCCCTCGAGGACCGGAGTTCGAGACCCCTGCTCTAAAGTTTTTCACTTTAATATGCAAACACTGGGGCTGCAGGGTGGCACAGTTGGTAGCACTGTTGTCTCGCAGCAAGAAGGTTGCTGGTTCGCATCCCAGTGGGGGCACCAGAATCTTTCTGTGTGGAGTTTGCATGTTCTCCCCGTGCAGCGTGGGTTCTCTCCAGGTTCTCCGGCTTCCTCCCACAGTCCAAAAACATGTTGAGGTTAATTGGTGATTCTAAATTGTCTGTAGGTGTGAATGTGAGTGTGCTTGGTTGTCTGTCTCTAAGTGTGGGAGAAAATCAATAATGAACTAATCAATAAAATTGTTGATAGATTAATCAATAGAATTACATCCTATTTATTTAGATTTAAAAAAAAAAAAACAACATTTAACTGACATGACTGATCAGCTGTTTCTGCTTCTAGAGACTCTGGACAACATGAAACATGGCTGACATCAGCGGACATGAAATAATGGTTATACATCTTCATTCCTGAAGACTTCTCTCCACTTTTTCCTTGAAACCAGACAAAGTTGTCTTTGCTTCTTCTTCTTTGATGCTCTGGCAGTTTTGTACATAAATATGAAGGCTTTAAAGAGTTTTTTGCCTTAACATTAAGTTAGTTTTTTTAATCAATGTGCATTATTATTGAGATTTTTGACAGTTTTGTGCATACATATTCAGGTTTGTAACAGTTTTATGTGTTAATATCCAAGTTATTAACACTTTTCTGTGCTTAAATCCAGGTTTTTAACAGTTTTTGTGCATATTTACCTACAAAGCTACACAAAGATTGGATCATCCAGCTGCTGACTAACAGAGAATGTGACGTTTGCTGTCTGTGAAAGTTTAAAGTCAATGGATAAAACCACAAATGGACATGTAACAGTCACAAAAGCATCCATAACACAGGTCCTAATGTTGATAGCGAGATGTCCTACAGTCTCCTGACAGTTACTTTTAGCAGCAGTCCTGCTACTTTTTGATCAACCCTTGTGAAAATACATTTACTTCACTGTCTGAGATTCACTGCCAATTGTCCAGACTTCTACTTACACTCCCCACTTTCCTAAATAGATCCACGCTTTAAAGAAATGTCTTAGCTTGCTAAAATGGCACATTTGAAAATGTAAAACTTCATTGCGGTCCTCACAAGAACACAAGCACAGGAGAGCAAACAAACGGTTTGATCCTCAAGAGACCCTTGTAAGTATTGATGGCCGGCTCACTTTCTATAAACGTCCTTACATTGCAAAAACTGTCTCTGCTTTCCAGGTCTAATACACAAAAGGCTCTTCACAACCGCACACACTCTTGCCGACGCCTCTCCTTATCGTTTTTTGCTTCCTCTCACAGTTTTCGTCGCAGGCAATTCTCTGCACAGCTTTAATTAGACTCAACTCGACTTAAAATGAGCCACTTTCGCTGAGAAAACAACTAACGGGAGAAATTGGGCTTCAGCTGAGCCACTTAATACGTCCTCAGCATCTCTGTGTGTCTCTGCCGCTCAGGGCCGAGCAGCGCTTCCAACACTTGCATAATTGGCCGACTCTGGCGCTGCAGTCGAAGGCGCCGTCACCGTCGGCATCTCCAGCCCCTCACCCCCCGCCTGTTGCCATAACAACTAATGCAGAACCAGCGCGAGGAAATATCGTCGAAGGATGCTCGCGTCCGCGCGTTGACTCGGCCGGAGTCCATACGCTGCGTTAGTGCATCAAACACGTTCTGCGTGGTCAGATGCTGGAAAACAACCAACACCTCATCTGTTGCCTGCTCAGGCTCAACACCTGCTGGATGTCTCTGGTAGTTAACGCTTTGAACCCCAATCGGTTTCTGGACGTGTCACATTTTCGCTCACTGTGGATTCTTTTTTTTGTTTTTTACTGCAACATGAGATCATTAAAATACTTATTTTGTGCTTTTCATTGGTTTGTTTCCTTCACCCAAGTACGTGAAATTACCTCTTTTGTTGTGCACTTGCCCTCCGCTTTGTTAATTCACAGGTTTAATTTGAATAATATCTATGCTCTCATGTTTTTTTCTTACAGGAATGGAGGGTGTACACGTGGCTCAGATTTTACATTTTTTAATCAAATACTTTGGGAAGCACTTTGAGCTCAGGCTTGAAAAGGCCAATAAAATAATCATTGTTATAATATTATTTGGAAAATTGGTAAAAAGCTCCTGAGCTGTGAAGTAGGCTCACGTTTTCAAGGATATTGTTGCATCTTTTTGGTCCTGAATACAGAAATATTTAACCAGCAGTAAAAAAGGCAGCAATACGATGTTGGTTTTTGTTTTCAGGCAGCTTTTTTTCATTCCTTGAATGATTCAGATTGCTTTTTAGACTTTGTCAAAAGGCAGAAATTCCCAAAGTCTTGGCAAATAGAGTGAAAATACTAATTGGAGTGACGTAAAAGACACGTGGATATGAAAGCCTAAACACCTTGATATCGACACCAGTCTTCTTCAGGTCCCTTCTGAGAACGGACCGCCTTGATAAACGTTACTATTTAGTAAGTTATCCTCCTCCTCCTGCACTCACCCTGTTGATCAGCTCCCCCACCATCCCGGTCCAGCTGCCGTTGGGCTCCGGCGCTCCGTACAGCCCGTCGTCCACCAGCTTGATCTTAAAGGAGAACTTGAGGATGTCGGCGAGCTCCCGCAGCATGTCCACACAGAAACCCTCGTACTGATCGTTGCCCTGGAAGTCCTGGTAGTTGGACTTGCGCATCACGTACGGGTTTTCCTGTGGTCAGAACAGAAGCCACGGCTTACAGCAGCTGGTTCAGAATGAGAGACAGTGATGTGTGATGCCGCGGTACGACGGGCTGCTTACCAGTATGGTGGTGACGATCAGCGACTTGTTAGCCAGAGTCTCTGAGGCGTTGAGGTCCAGAGAGGTGGAGTTCATGGCCAATGTGTTGTTGGAGTACCAAATGCCAATCTGAGGGGGATCAGGGAGAACATGAGTTAATGGTGGAAGAGGCAGATCATGTGATAAAAAACTAAAAACAAGCTTTAAGAGTCAGTCCAAGACCAAACTTGTCCTGTTACAAGTCACACAAAATCCATCAAACACCAGCTGTTTAATGGCACTTTTCAGTCCTTTGTTTGTCAGTTTATAAAGTCAGAAAGTAATGCATTAGCGCTGCATTTCCCAGGTGAATATGGGTCACAGAAACCCCGCGGTTCAATCAAATACTCAACATGAAGTGGACGAACAAAGGCTCGTGGCTGAAGTGGCCGTTTATTCAAATGACCTACTTCCTCAAAGGATGGAGGAGGAAGTACTCGTGAAAACTGGTCACACCAGCTTTGAAACAGTGACATCTTCAGTTTCAACATGGCTTTAAAGTAAATCTGCGAATGTATTTCATCAAGATCTGACTTGGTGAAGCTTTGAATTTATGTCGTGAAATAAAAGCAAACACACTGAATGCCAAAACCCACCAGCAGGTTTGAAAGGCTTGTTATCTTTTTTTTTCTCTTTAAATTCCAAT